CTAGTACCACATCATACACATCCACTTGTACTGCAACACAACAAGCAAACAAATGTATCTCACAATTTCTTATGTGTTATTATATTTTAAATATATGTAATTAATAGCACATTAATCGTTCTTATTAAACATGGAAGAGAAAAGTGGGTAACACTGAAGTTGATGAAGATTTGATTTTTCATATATATAATTGAAGAAGAAGAATTCTTTGAAGACCCATTTAGTGATGTGACATGAGTGGATTTTAGATGTTTTTTCTTATTTGTGCTTTAGTAGTTTTGATAACTTATATTTGTTATTTTGTATTTTGAATTATGCTATGAGATGCATATATTGCATCTATTTTATTATTTTTCACTAATTTCACTTCTCATTTAAATGTTTTTATTGTATGATAGACTCTTACTGTTATTTACCTGCTATAATACTTAAATTCTCATTTATGCAATTCTTTGTCCGTGAGGCTTACGCCTCACATCACCTCGAGGCTTTCGCCTCGCATCACGGACGAAAAACACCTTGATACTTATTTACGTAATTTTAAACCTTGGTTAAGAGTCAAATTTTTAATTAAATCTAATAAATTAAGGTCATTTCTAATATTTTCTAGCCAATTCTTTTTAGGTTTATTTCTATCTTTCTTAACATAAGCTAAATCCAGTACATCTAATATCCTAATTGGATCTTCGAAAGGTTGCCATTTTACTTGGCCAATTAGAAAAGTTCTCAAACTCAAGGAAAATTTTTATAAGATGGTGAAGAGACCTGCAATGCTTTATGATATAGAATGTTTGTCATTAAAAGAAAAGAGTAATATTAAGTGTTGCAAAGATGAGGATGTTCAGGTGGATGAGTTGCTTTACTCTTAAGAGACTTAATGCGAAATGAGCATATACATGAAAAGGTTGGAGTAGCTCCAATGGAAGATAACTTTAGAGAGGATCGCTCCAGTGCCTAATATATTCAACTATGCAAGAAAAAAAATTACCCCAATTAAAACTTGTTCTCTATTCAAGCATCTATTAGTGATGTATTTTCCTTGAATTAGCTCTATTGAGTAATTTAGTGTTTGTTTTTATGTTATTTTTTTCAAATTGCATCTGAACCCACATAGTGCAATAAAGGTTTGTTGTTGTTATTGTTGTTGTTGATGTTGCCCCTTAGCCTGGGTAATGTTTAGTTGAGTTGGGGAGAGTTTGGTTTGATCTAACAATAAAAAGGAAAATTGTTAGGTTAATTTTTTTAAATTTCATTGATGAATTTTAAAATGAGGGTAATGCATACTATTTATGAATTGTTTCATCTTAGTCTTCTTTTAGGATAGCTTTTTTATTTTTTTTTATTTTTCAAACAGTAATCCCAATTTTTATTTTGGTATTATTTTTTCACTTTGCTTTCAAAAATTATTTATGCTAGAAAGTTGATTTTTACATCAGCTTTAATACAACAGGTTTAAAAGTTATTCTCTTTAGTAGTAATAAAAAAATTGTCTCAAACTAAGGTTTCGTTTGTGATGGTTTTTTTACTGTTTCTTAAAGCATCTTTATAGTACAAAAATATTAATTTTTTTACTAGAAAGATGCTTCTTAAAGTAGTTTTTAGTGCAAAAATTAAAATTTGTACTAAAAAACTATTTTAAGAAACAAGAAGAAAACTGTCCCAAACGGAGCCTAAGTCTTGTAGTAGATTCGTTCATATTATTCTTTCATTAGGACATTCATACATGATTTGGTTTATTATAATTTGTGATTATCGATTGATTCATATTTGATTGACTTAAAATTTTATGGCGGTGGGTTGATCTATGACTAATTAATTTCACTAATGACATGAGTTGAGGTTAGTTAAAACTCATATAAATTAGGAATTGGTTTGAGTCAAGCTCAAGTTAAGCCAAATTGAAGGTAATAGTAAGTTTTGGTTATTTAGACAACCCTCCAAAATTGTGTTCACTTAGCTCAACATGGAAGTAAATTAGGAAGCATTTTCTTCTTCATTATCTATCATTTTCAGGTTTTTTTGTTCAAATCAAAATAACGTTTCTCTATCTTCACTAAGCATTTCTTCTACTTGCCTTTCTTTGTTGTTTAGTATTTAAAAGAAAGGATAAAAGGTCTATGAGCATATTCCAATCATAATTTAGTTTCAAAGAATTTTTCTTTGAAAAATTTTAAATTTATTTTAAGAGGATTGCAATATAAAATTTAATAATTATTTCAAAACAAATTTAAGGAATTTAAAGGTCTATTTTTTTGCATTTTATAAAATTTTTTATAAAGTTACTGTAGAGAAAGCAATTGTTATGATTATAGAAAATATTTTTTTTATAATCATAATTTGTGAGAAAACTACAATAAAGTAAAAGCCAATTAAAATAGTGATTGTTATTTGAAAAATAAAATAGCAAGAAATTATTTGTTTACTTAATAATTTAATTCAGCCTTTTTTTTCCCTGAAGTGTGAGTTTAATAAAAATTATTGTATTTTAAAATTGTCCTAAATTTCTTTCTCATAAATAAAGTTCGATCAAATTAGAGAGATTGGGACAATAAAATTTCAAGTAAATTAAAAATGGTTTTTATTTAATAATAAATATATTATGCTTATATTTTAAATACTATTTGCATACAAATAAAACTTAGATTCTTGAACTAAATCAAATTAAATAAGTTCTATGCCGAGTCAAAATTTGAATAAAATTAAAATAATATTAAATTTATATATATTTTTTTTATTTTAAAAGCCATTCAGTACCGTACGTTGCTTTAGAAGTTTCAGAAGCAACGTTTGTGTACTTATTATAAAATTTATGAATTTTAGGACTTTGATGATTGGCGACTTCCGAATCTTCAGACTAATTAATCTTCGAAATAGAATAACGACTAAAATTTTGTCAATATTGTACGTATAATTGGCATAAAAATAAATAGTACAATTAAAAAAATTGATGAGCTTATTGTAAGGAGAGTAGAGTGATGAGATATAATTAGGGAATAAATTGAGAATTTATTAAGCTAAATACATTTGACTAAATATTTATCAATTTTTTAAAAAAAAGCAACAAAAATATGATATTTCTAAAATTTATAAGATTATTTTATTGTCAAGATATATAGTTATATTTATATGATGTTTTGCTTATTAGAGATGGATAAGCCAATCAATTTATAGATAAAATATTATTATAGGAGCACTTTGAACCACTTAAAAAATAAGTCATAATATACTTACTTGATCTTAAGAGTTTGTGCTAAGTTTTTGGGCTTAATTTTTATGCTATTAGAAAACATGCTGCATAGGCTTAAGTATAGTTTGGGACATCTTTTTTATTACTTATTGAAACAGTTTTTTAGTACAAAAATTTAAATTTTTATACTAAAAATCTGCTTCACAAAGCAATGAAAAAGACATCCCAAACGAAGCCTTAAGAATTCATTTATGACAGCTTTCTTATACAAATTTCTAGTTCAAGAAAATTTTGTCCTAAAAAGCTGCTTTAGAAAGCAGTAAGAAAACTGTCCCAAATAAAACATTTCTTATTGATGAACTTTTAGACTTAACAAAAAAAAAAAAATCTTGTCGTGATGTTATCATCATCATATTTAGGTCAGCATTGCATTCATATTTATATTGGATTTATTTCTTACAAACTTATGTAAAAACCTCCCTTTTGTTGTTATAGTTATCTATCTCAATTGAATAGAAACAATATTAGGAAAATCTATATCTTAATCCATCACATTATAATTAGTTACTTCAAAGAAAAAATAGCATTTTCTTACTTCAAAAAATAAAATATAAAAAAAGAATCTCTCAAGATATCAACCTATGTTGGCGTTTCATTTAAAATACATAGGAACTCTTCAGTACATCAGCTCTCCAAGCTGCCAACTTTGAATCATTCTTTAGTCCATGATGATTATGACTAAGGGGTCCCAGGCACGTGCAAAGCAATTCTGGGCAGCACATTCTCTCTCTACCTCTCTCTCTCTCCTCTCTCCTCTCTCCTCTCTTGATGTTTTCTCTCTCTATTTCTGCTCAAAGAAAATAAAAGAAAATAAAAAAAGCTGCACTCCACCATGGCTATGAAGGTGGTTGCCTCCCTTTGGGTGCACAAAAGATCACTTTCTTCTGTCATTCGCCAAATCTGTTCATGGATTTCTTTGTTGCGCATGGAGACTACCCTTCTAAGATTCCTTGGCCGACAATTCTAATTTAGATTAGCTTCATTATAATATCTCTTCCTCTCTCTATATTTTGGTAAATGTCCTAATTACATCTATTTAGAATATTTAATGAATAAAAATATCTTAATCCATTATAATAAGATGATTAGACATAAAATATATTTGAAGTGTATGTCATGTCATGCATCATTATCATATAAATATTTTTTTTAATTAAAAAAGCAATATTTTTTCTTATATTTGTGCTCTATTTACATCAAAATCAACATGTAAAAAAATCATTTACCATAAAGGTTATAAAAAGAAAAAGAAAACCAATTTTCCACAACATCATTGATTGCTTGATGTTGTTAGAACTGAGCTAGCTTGCAAAAAAATTCTCTTATATAACAGAAATGCAATTTGCATGCAAAAAAATTCTCTCTCTCTCTCTCTCTTCCAAGACAAGAGCAACAATATGCTTTATTAGGCCCAAGACATTTATTCTATCACAGCCAAATTCTTCTAATCTTTCTGAAATCTCTTACCTAATACCCTCTGTGGTCTTCTGATCTCTCCTTCCAAATATAGGAAGAAGTTTTAAAAAAAATTCTCTACTTGCCAACAAAGAAATCTAATTGTCCCCTCTTTCCTTTAAGAAACCTTTCATTAGTCACCTCACCATATATTTTTTATAGAAGAATAATCAGTAAAATGAAATGAAAAGAGAGAAAAATAGTCCCAAATAAGAAGAAAAATGTCCTCAAATATCAAATTATATAAAATCTTTCACCAAAAGAGCTGAAGATTGGCTCATAATTAACTCTTTCAATCAAAAAAAAGAAAGAGAAATCCATATTAATATAATGTTTCAGTCATGAATATGGATCTTGCAACACACCCAAGTTCAGAAAAATGAAGAGACAAATACAATTAAGAAGAAATTTAAGATAAAATATATAGATCATATATGAAAACCTAAAGTCTCCATCATGGAGAAAAACTATTAATACGTGAGAAATAGTGTCTACACATGAATTTGACTCACGTAATATATAAATATAGATATGATATGTTCATCTCTGAGTTACAAGAGTGAACTATTAATAAGCCCATGCCATGACGAATTAGAAGGAACTCCATTCCAATAATCTCTTCCAGATTCCATTCCCAAGCTTCCATGGCTAGTACTAGTACTATGAGCATTACTTGCAGGATGATCAGAATTTCCCACCACGGCTCCTGTTTCAGCAGCTACTGTTGTACTATCACTGCAGCCACCCACCCCTCCATCAAAAGAAAGCATGCCTCTGATATCATCACCTCCACCACTAAACCCATAATAGAAGCTATGAAGACCACCCCCACCACCTCCATGATTCTGACTGTGATCACCCCCCCTCAAAATATCTAGAAAAGCAGCTCCATTAGGGTTAGGATTAGGGTTAGGGTTAGGGTTACCAAGTAGGAAAGGGTCATGGCTATGAAAGCTAGAAAATGCTAGGGTGAGGTCACTAGGATCATAGGTGAGGGGAGGAGGTAGAGGCATGGAAGGAATGAGTAAAGATGTGGGATTAACTTGATCTTGGTTGTCTTGTAAAGCTGGTTTCTTTGAAGTAGATGATGAATTGGAGGTTGAAGGTGAAGATCTTTTGTTCTTTCTGCAACCTCCACCAACTGGAACATTTCTTAGAGATCCACCTTTGGTCCAGTATCTTCTACAGCCTTTGCAGAAGTATCTTGGCTGAGAAAGGCTGTAGTTGTTGTAGTAGCAGAATTTGGTGTTGGTGGAATCACACCTAGGACACCTTAGAGCTTGCTCTGGCTGAGGTCTTGGCTTCTTGATCTCCTGTTGAAGATGATGAGCTGGGGATGTTGATGATGATGATTTGGGGCAATTTAGAACTTCATGATCTAGTTGATGATTTGCCATTGCCTGATAGTTTCAATTAATTGTTATTATTCCACACAAATGAAAGGGATTTGATTGTTTGAACTTGGAAATTTTTTAATAAAATCTTGTGATTTGTGAATGATAATTAATGATGAATGAATAATGATATATTGATCAGTAGTGTATATGAGCTAAGATTAATCTACGTACACTAATCTAAGTATAGATCTAACAAATATTCTGATATAATTTACATCAAAATATTCTTACAAGAGTTATAATCTTAATATTATGATAAAATTAGTAACGATGTTCATGAGAAAATTAAAATTCACCATAAATTTTAATATGATAAATCTAAATTTCTTCTAAAAGATGCTTTAGAAATTTCATTTTTCTATCTAGTTCTTATGCTTACACAGTCAATTTTATAAGGAAAGAATTTCCTCATCCATCACTCCTTAAGCTAAGGAATCACAAAGAAAGATCTTGATTTCTCTTTAAATTAAATCAGAGTATTTGAATTCAAATGATGGAAGCAAAACATAAAAAATCTCACATATTGTAATCTAAAATCATCAGTTAATGAAGATTTTGAACACTAAGAAGCGAAGTTTAGATCATGAATCTAACAAACATATATATGCATGTCTTCCTCAAATTCCCCTTCATCACCCAACATAAAATTGTGATAAATAAACATGCAAACATTCATATATTCTAAACTAAAATTAGAAGAGAAAATTTATGTGAAAGAAGTCACATGGAAACGCTAACTAAAAGTTAAAGCTGCAAGAATTCCACCAATTTAAGTAAAGAAAAAGCAGAGAAAGGTGCCAATTACTAGCTTGGAATGAAAAAGCTGTGATTTTTGCTGATCTTTATATATAATCTTCTTCTTTTTTTCTTTTAATGTACCAATAAAGTTCATAACAAAACATTACAAGAAATATAAATTGAAGGGGTGATATTGGTTTTGTAATTCTGTACCTGATGGTGGTGGCCTGTAGAGATCTCCATCCATTCAAACAAAGCTCTCAGGAAATTAGAAACAGATGCATGCAAAGAGAAGAGATAAGAGAGAGAGAGAGATGAGAAGGCAACTCAGTTAAGGAAAGAGGAGGAGCTGAAACCCAGAGCACCTCTCATGAGTTAAATAAGTGAGAGAGTTTTAGTGAGAGAAACTAACTAGATAGATAGAGAAGTTTAGAGATAGAGAGAGAATGTAGAGAGGGAAAGGGATAGTGATACGAAACGAGCGATGCGTTTTTATGTTTGGGGCAACAAAGCATGGAAAATTCGAGTTTGCTCTTTGAACGGATTCACGAGGTGGGCCGAGGGGCCCATAGTGGCGTGGAGCGCAATAGCGGGCTGCGCGTGGGGCCCATCAGACTCTCCCCTTCTTTTGGCCGGTTCCGCGATCCGTTTCACATCCCCCGCGGCGGGATTTGTTTTATCCGAGTCCGCCGAACGCGTGGCCGTTGATCTCGCGATTCTCATCACTGTTATTCCTAGCCGTCCGTTCACATGGGCCCCATCAAATTCTACTAGACGGAAAATAGTCTCGGAGCACTGATGATAGGAATAATGTTTTTTGACCGCATCTGAACCGTCAGATGGTTTTGGCACCAATCGTGAGTTTGATGGTGTGATGGGCCCCATCACGCCGTAGCCCAGTCGTTATCTTCCAAGTTTAGCCTACCTAGCTTTTAATAATCGAATCGTACATTGAACGGAAATAATGTTAATAAACTGAATTTGACTTTGTTGAATTATGACGATATAATAATAAATATTTAATTATAATAATTATTTAATGGATTTTTAACATATAAGTAACATAATATAATCATATATTTTAGTTTTTAAAATAAACGTGCAAAAATAAAATTATTATATTAGATTAAAAATTTCATATAGGTAAATGAACTTTATATTGAACGAAATTGATAATATTTTTGTGATATCAAAGATATTTAAAAACTTTTAACAATTGCAAAAATCTTGTTTTTTGTGAATTAAATAATAAAATGTGTAATGCTTGATTTTCTAGACCCCATTCGATTCGTATATGTCGAGAAAAGCTATCAAACTGAATCAAGATCTTCAAAGAGAGGCTTCTAGCTATTTAGGTTGAACTCACATGCCATCATGGTTGAACCTAGTGGCTTATCAATCCGATTGGTTAGTGATAAGGTCATGAGGCTTATGATGAATAAATATGAAAATATGCATGTTTTCTCAGCCAATAATTAAGCTCATTGATCGATACTTTATTTGATGCATTCAAGCCTCTCTATATAATATGGCCAAAGACAATTAATCACCTACCTAAATTTATCAAACTCTTAGCCAATATCTACTTTAACAACTTCCCTTACTATAACTATGTAATTATGTTAGTTGCAACACCTTTCTATCAACAAATGACATCTCTTCTTAACCTTGTATCATTGCCATCAACTTTTAATCATGTCTTTGTCTGATTATGTGCCATTCGATCTCTTTATATGACATCTCCAAATTCAGCATGAAGTTCTACCTGTTTTGATCCGAATTGAAAAAGGTAAACAGTTAAATTTTTGTGTTTTGAATCCATTTGCATGTGTGTAAAAGTATTTTAATGTATGAAAAATATTCTCATGTGTTTTGGAATGAGTCTCAGGTGTTTGGAGTGCATATTGGTTAATTCTATAATTTTTTCCTAAAGCGCAACAATGCTGGATGTTTTAGTGTTGTGAAGTTGCAGTGGTGCCTAGGTGCTAAATGGCGACATTACAATGTTGTAGTATCAATTTTTTAGATTTTGAACTAACGTTACAGTGCTAGATTGTGGCACCGTAGCACTAGGCCACTTTATGCACTTAAATATAATATTAAATCCACTATTGAATTTATTCGTTCGATGTTGGCAGTCGAAGAATAGAAAGGAGGGGGATTTTAAGAGCATAATTTCCCATTAAATTGACCTCATCACTGCATATTCACAAGCCACTATAATGATGTGCATCAATGCTAGAGTTTTTGTCTCTAAAATATCTTAATTAGAAAAGGAGGGGGTGTTTGAATTAGGTTTTTAATGAGCACAATAGGGTTAACTCCCAACCTACGCAGATGAGTGGCTTCATTGACAATTTTATTAGGCAATGCTATGCATCTCCTTCCAACCAAGATAATAGGAAACCACTCTTATATATTTCTAAATTTGACATTCTAATTACTATGTTGATAAAATTGATTTCACTTGGATCTTCTTTTCTACAATGCTGGGTTTAACCTACATAGTTAGTAGTGATAATGAGAACAAGCATATACATGTGTGACAAGACGCGTAGTATTTGATGTTGATCTTGATAACAACAAAATTATTAGATCCTAATATATATGCATATATATAATTGAGTTCAATGATGATAAAGAATCTAATAACCTTTACGGTAAATGATAGCTACAACAAGAAAAAAGGTTATTATAGTAGCAAGTCTGATGATGGGATTTATGAGTGATCATATATAATTTCAACATCAATTATCAAGTAAACATATATTAGGGAATGTGATTTCTTTCTCACTTTATTAAAGTAAAATGCTGCTTATGATATTGTTTTTCATCTCATCTTCTAAACACCATTGTACATTATTAAGAAAAGTAATAACAAAATTCTAATTGAAATGTAGGCTCAACATATATAAAGAGCATAGTTGTATCATAACCATGTTTAATTATCTTAACATGTCAAAATCCCTTTATTATTCTCTTAATATATTCCATAATTATATTTAAATTAAATACATATAAATCCTTTCAAATTTGGGTTAAATCGGACTCAATACTTCAACCTTTTTTTATCTTGTGTTTTATGTTTCTTAAAAAATTATTATTTTTGTCATATATTGTATTTCCGCAACAATAAAATAAAGTTTTTTCAATTTTAATAATAAACTTTATATTAGTAATGTATTCATACCCTCTCATTAATATAGATGCATTATAAAGAAGAACCTTATGAGATTTTGGGGTGAGAGGAGAAAAATTGAATGCAAAATGAAAGATTAATTAGGCTTGTAATCATATTACTTAATTATATAAACATAACAAGATTCCAAAAAATAACATATATATTGAAAGAATTGACAAATAATTTATGGAAATGCGGCTAGAAATCTAAATTAATGGTGGTTAATTTCGTGATAATGATTAGATCGATCAGGTTAACTATTAATATTATTGTGTCATGAAATATTCACGACGGAAAAGATTGATAAAGTTTAACGTCTTAACTTTGTACGAAGATCCAGCACACAATCAAAAAAAGTGAGGGGATGTTGTATTCATAAGTGACACCAGAGTTTTTACGTGAAAACTCCTGAAAAGGAGGAAAAAGGACTAGGTATTATCAGAATTAATCCTCGATCTTAGGCTCATTGGATTCGTCTCGTCAATCCTCTCCATTCGAGTATGAGCATGTCTTATTTGAAAATTATTTTATTGTCCAATTTTTTATTTGAATCTTCAGATGCGCTCCATGTCTTTGATATGAACCCTTGTAGGCTTAGATTGGAACGAATTTGGTGTCAATGGGTTCATCCTCTTGAGACGTTCACTTCAACTATATGTTTTCTGAAATCAGAGTTCAGATGATCCCGTATTTAATTTCAAAAGTTTCTAATACAAAGCTTTTTTGATGATATATCAAATATAAAATAATTGATATATTATTTTAAATTTTGAAACACATTGCCTAAATTTGTCTTTTGTTGACATTCTCCTTCTTGATTCTTATAGATTTCACTTTCGCTTATTCGGTCCATTTCAAAGAAGAATATTATACTTTAATAACATCATATTTAAAGTTGGATTTTATTATCTATTTATAGTATTTTTTTTAATAGCATCCCTTTTACACAATACTAAATAACTCCTTACTCAAAAACATCATATCGGATAAAAAAAGCCTGGTAATATGAGCACAACGACGACAACAAGCCTTTATCTTAGCATGAGGTACCATAGAAAGTTTCTAAAATTATTAATATCATTCTAAATAATTGTAAACATTGGCCAATATCTTAGAATGTCATAGAAAAAATAAGAATAGAAGAAACTCTTAGCTCATCATATCATTCACATTAGACCTGTCAATTTCGGGTTACGGGTCGGGTTGACCCGAACCCGAAACTGACCCGGTATTATTCGGGTTCGGGTTGACCCGACCCGGTTTTGCAAACGGGTCAATTTTCTTGACCCGAACCCGACCCGCTTCTGGTTCGGGTCAACCCGACCCGCGTAGCCGCGGATGCGACATTGCCTTTGGACGCCGACGCGGATCGGCAGACGCCGGCGACGCCAAACTTGCCTGGGCCGCCCGCCGCCTGGCCTCTAGATGCCGTTTGGCCTGGTCTGGCACGGCCTGCCTCGGAAATGGGCCAAATGGCTTGGACTGCTTCGGGAGTCGGGAGTCTCGCCGTCTCGGGACGCTGCGCGCGGCGCTCCTGCGCGGAACGGCGGAGTTCGGAACTGGCTTGGCCAGTTGGGCGGCGGGGGCTGGCGGGCAGCACGAAGGAATCAGCGAGCTCGTGGCCTCCGCCAATCCGGTCCACAGGTCGGTGGGCGGTTGGTCGGGGGCCCCACGCCATCTTGAATTTTCCGATTCCCCGCAAATTACAGTGATTGAGAAACGACGAGGAGAGAGAATGATGACGTTCTTTTTTTTTTTTACTGGCAACGGAGACGTGACGGCGACGTTTCGATTAATGGGCTGGGTTGGGCTCCACCAGGCCTGCCCGTTTTTAGGTTCTGCATATTATTTATGAAAATAATATCTAAATGAGTTTAAATTAGGTATAAACTTATCTGTAGTAAGATTAGTGTAATTAAAATATTATATATAATATATTTTTAATATAAATTAAATATTTTGAAATTAATCTTATATATTTTGCATACATCTATCCTACATATTTTTTTCACATTATATTTTTAGGGTCACTTTACCCGACCCAACAAATTATTATTAGTTGCATAATTGATTTAATGTAGGAAGGGGTGCAAACGAGCCAAGCCGACTTGCGAGCTAGCTTGGACTCGACTCAGTAACAGGCTCGACGAGTCAAGCTCGGCTTACCGAGCTCGAGCTCGAACATGATGCTGCTCAACTCGTCAGCTCGTCGAGATGATCGACGGCAGAACTGCAGGATGGAAATGCAAATCCACGAAGCGGGAAATCCAAATCGCGAGCGGGAAA